TGCTTCTGGTGAACCAGAGGAGCACATGAACACGCTGTTTACCTTCCGGCCAGAACGGTACCTATTTATCTACTTGCATTTTGACATGCTTTCGAACTGCTAGTTTGGCAGGAGCTGGGACCAAGCAACGGGAGCTCACCCCGTCACAGGGATTCGAACCGCCGACCTTCTGATCGGCAAGTCCTAGGTTCTGTGGTTTAGAGCGCAGTGCCACCCGCGTCCCTAATCCTCTTTTAAAGCCATCCAAATTGGTGGTAGTCATTACTTTTTGTGGCAGCAAATGCCATGGTTTAACTACACACTGTTTTGAAGGAATCTTGGTGTTAGGGATCTTGTAGCATCTCCTTCAAATCTAAAAAGGAGTCATAATCTAGAGCCTATGAAAACAAAACCCTTCTAATAGCATTACAACACCCCATGTGAGGTGGCAGGGGGAGAACTGAGCGTAAGTTGTATTTACTGCCTGCCTCGCAGAGTGCTTGTTACATCATTATCTTTGACAGCAACGTATTATGCCTCTGTCACTTTCAACACAAAGTGCATAAATATCCCAAAGTTGATTATGTAAAGTCAAATTGTTATTAGCTTTAATCATCTGATAATGTGCTAATGCATTGTGGATAATTCACCATTGTGCTCTGAACTTCCTTCTGTAGTGAATACAGAAATTACTTGTCATTTAAAAATAAGACACGTTTGGGAGGGAGCAAAAGGAAGGTGGCATCAGGCAATGCAGGAGAGAAGGCAAACATGGCATACAGTTCCCGATTTGACTGTGGAAGAATGTTCATCTAGCTCAGTGGTTCCTGAACATTTTCAGGCCACCTTCCCCTTGGTTGCATAAGCTCATCCCCAGTGTCTCCTACCCTACCCAAATTAAGCAATATTCAGAATAGCAGATGCATGACCCTCTAAGGAAAACAATAATACAATAAAATTCAAAACAGTAATAATTAATTGTACATTTATTCAATCAACAAAATTTATGTACTTGATCTCGTGACACCGGCTTTTCAAAGTCTGAGAGTTATTTATACTTCCAGCATCCTCCCTGTCACCACCTTGCCTCTTATCACCCCTCCCCCAGGTAATCCCACTGCCCCACAAGGGGTGGTTCAACCCACTTTCGGAACCTTTTAACTAGCTGATTATATGTTCCCCACAACAACTCCTTAACTAGAGGTTAATTAGAGGACTACATCAACCCTCTTCAGCATGTAGTCCAACAATTTCTGAATGGCCCCAAGTCCCATCACCACCGACTAGGGATGGATAAATTTCAGTCAGTATTCACTTCACCTTAAGTTCATTTCTACACATTTATTCATCGGCTTGCAGATTTTTTTATTTTTTTTTAAAAAAATAGCAAGTCCTTACAATAATTCACCTGCATTTTAGGGTGCATTTATGCTAACACACTTACTGTACATACAATTCTACCTAACAGAATCCTCTGCTACCATATGTGGGATGTGAAACACAGAGCAGTCAAATACAACATTCCTGGAGAGGGCTGTTTGTCCAATCAGTAGATAAACTTCCTGTCCCTGGGCTGGGACAAACTTCCTCTACATGTGACCAGAGGTGGGCGTGACCTTACCTGTGCAGGTAACAAAATAGCACAGGTAGTCATCTCTCTCTCTGACTCCATTCCTCGAAGAAGCAACATCTCCTTAGCCTGAGATTCTCTCTTGGAAGCTAAGAGAGGACAAATGAACTATCTCCTTATGCGATAGATTCCACGTGTATATATTTTGTAACTTAAGTCTGCCTTCTGAGATCCATCTGTGAACAGAATGTGTGAGTAAACTATTTTATACCTTTCATACAAGACTGTTGTGTCTATTCTTTTTAGGAGGGAATAAAGGGGAATTACCAGGAAACTTATTTTAGAGGCTTAAGCAAGCCTGGCAACAACTTATCCACTGTGTAAGTTTAAAAAGGGAATGTTACTCTGCTACATTATAGAACTTGTAAACACAAGTTGGGAAGGATATAATTAAACAATCTATCCTCTCCTGCCTCCCTGAACATTCCCACAATTACTGTATCTAAGGTGAGGGCACTCTTTTACAAGCATAGTTCAGGAGCTTATGCCGGTCACAAAGGGAGGGGTTAATGAAGGGCATGTGGAGTTGGACAGCCATTAGGGAAGTGAGGGGAGCTTGGCTTTATAACCTGATCTATTCCTCAACTATTCCTCTTTCCCAGTTTGTAGTGCCCTCCCTCCTTCTCTGCCTGCATGGTTGTGGCCAGTCATCCAAGCAGGAAGTTTTGAGGGAGGACTTCTTGACGGGCTCTAAAATCCTCCTGTGTCACACTGTTGGTACTAATTCCATTTGTGCTTCAGGAGTTGCATAGCTTGGTAGCCCGTGGTGGGCAAATATATGCCATATTGACCAGCACTTGGGCTGCTCAGTTGTTGTATCCATGCCTTATGCCTATGCCAACCCTATTCTCTGTAATCAGGCAATGAAGTTGTAGTCTTATTTCTCTTGACTATTTTTCTGAGTCATGCAGAGTGATACAGCGGCTTCCTCTTCGAAGCCCTTGTGATGAAGTAGACTCTGCACACAAGGTGACTCTTTACGTGCAGGATGACAAACATTAGCATTTATGCATATCAAGTCCAATACAATGCACTTCTCTCTCTTGAGCCCAAGAGAAGTTCTTCTTGCTTCTTGCCTCCAAAACCCCTTTGTAGCAGTCCATAAATTATAGCTTGTCCTCACCTTACAGTGTCTCCACACTCAGCAAAACAACAGTGAAAAACCAGCCAACCTCCAACTCTTCACCCTTCCTATCACCGTTTGAGGCACACACATGCTCACTTTTAAAGGCAGTTAACAAATTGACAAGGCATTTCTGTGGCCTTGATTGGAGTCACAAGATTTTGCAGCTGTTACGTTACATTACATAGATTTTCCTTCCCCCTGTACAATTTAATCTTTGTTAAATACATTTTCTAACAAATACAGTACAAATACCGGCAATTTCATCCCAGAATTGTCTCATGTTTGCTTTGTTCTGCTCCCCCCCCCCCAAATCGTTGCACGCATGTCTGCTGTATACAGTAATAAGATCCACAGGGCTCCTGTTTGAAGCCCCTGCTGTCTCCCTCCAGGCTCCTGTCCCCAGCGGCCTCCGTCAGCTTTGTGGTCTACCACACAAGCGAAAAAGGATACACATAGGCTGGAAGTGAAATGCAATGGCAATAAAAGCTACAAGCGCCGGGACGTGTAAGATACAATTGCACGAGGATACCTTCTGGCATCCTCTCCCAGCACCCAGAAATAAGCACAATTCATCATGGAGCACATTGTTGTTCTCATAATGGGTCTTTAGTGAGCTGTCCTCAATATGCCAAATGGCAATGGGAAAGGGAACAGACTTGAAAAGGCATGAAAAAAGTGAAGCCTGCTCTTGACAGCACTGAACGAAAAAGTTAAAAGGTTCTGATTTCAATGAATGCTGATTCCGTGACACCAACTACAAATAGTGCTGTTCCTGATTTTTGCCGCAAATTGCTGTGCTGCTGGAAAAGGAAAGAAAAACGAAATGATGCCGGGGGGCATTGTTAATAAAGAAACCTATTCAGCGAGATATTTTAAATAGAAATTATTTGATGTGAGAGTCTCTAACTGAGAGGGGCTCAGATTGGTCATTTTTTAAAAAGGAGAATCAAGCTGTGGAATGCTGCTCTCATGACCTGTTTGCTCCCTCCTTACAACTGGAAGCACAGGTTCTGTTTTGGTCTATGTGCAGCTTCCCCTTAAACCTACCCTGCCCTACTGACACCTGGCTGTATATAAGAACATGTTGGTGCAAGGTAAAAAATAAGTATAGAAAGGAGAATTCCCCGGATAGCAAGATCTAGGTTTGGGGCAAGTACTCTTTGGTGAGAGAACCTCAGCGGAGATTTAAAATCACAAAATATGCAGCAAAGTGTGGAAATATAGGCTGTCAAGCCTTTAAAATGTGCCCTTGTGAGTTCCAATACTTCTCTTTTCTCTTAGCATAGAAAAGGACCACACATTTGGTAAGTTAAAAATGGTTTACTTGCAAACTCTCCAAAGGTCAGATTCATGTGCTTTTCCATACAGCATTCAGAAAAAGTTGCTCAGGCAGTAAAACTTGGCTTAGTTATAGTGGTGAAAATTCCTAAATTATTGGTCTAGGAACTTAAGGGGGAGAAAGATGGAACTTCATCAGCTCTCCTGAAAAACCAGCAGGTTTGGGCTTTTCAATCCCTCCTATTCGCTATAGGAATTCTGAAATTAAGAACTGGCACCTGAACTTGCGGTTTTCCTACTGTTAGCCCCCTTTCCTTTTGTATTGCATCTTTTTGATTGTGAGTCTATAGACAGGAACTGTCTTCTCATTGGTACTATTTTGGCTGAGGAGTATTAACAACAACAACCCAACATGTCTCAAAGGATTCAGGGCATAGCTCATACAGCACACTAGTCAGGTTTGTTGGGCGAAACTATTGCCCAATGTGGACTAAAAATATACCCCAAAATCAAAACTGGGGAAATTGTTGCCCATATCATAGCCTCAATTGCTGCAATTTGGTCAACTCAATGATTTGGAAGTGTGGCAGGGTGTGTATTATTTTGGGGGGAGGGCTAGCTTAGACAAAAAAGTAAGGGGAGACGTGATATAGGTGTATAGAATCATGAATAGTGTGGAAGCTGAATGGTGGGCTACTCAGTAGAGGCCAAAGGAAATGTTTCTTTATTTATTATGGAACTGACTACCACAAGACATAGTGATGACCAACACAGATGATTTTAAAAGGTGATTAGACATATTCATGGAGAACAATATCAATGGCTACCATTCGTGATGACTTTATCTTACTGCTGGTAGCAGAGACTTTGTGCCTTTAAATACCAGTGACTGGGGAATATGTGTGAGTGTAAATTACATGTGAGCTTCCCATAGGCATCTAGTCGGCCATTGTGAGAACAGAATGCTGGATGAGAACCACAGGTCAGATCTAGTACAGTGGTACCTTGGTTGTCGAAAGCCTTGGCTTCTGAACAAATCAGCTCCTGAACACTGCAAAAGAAGTAAGTGTTCTGGTTTGTGAACGTTTTTCAGAAGCCAAACGTCCGACGCGGCTTCCGTTTGAGTGCAGGAAGCTCCTGCAGCCAATCGGAAGCTGTGCCTTGGCTTTTGAACAGTTCTGGGAGTTGAACAGACTCCTGGAATGGATTAAGATCAACAACCAAGGTGCCACTGGAGTGCTCTTTTTACATTCTTATTCTTACCAGCACCACCATATGGGAAGGACTGCAACTCAACAGCAGAGCTTCTCTCGCGGATGCAGAAGGTCCCTGGTTCAGTTCCCAGCACCTCCAGGAATGAAAACCTGGAGAGCCACTGCTGGCCAATGTAGAGAGTACAGAGCTAGATGAATCAGTGATCAGACTTGGTATAAGCCAACTTCCTTTAAGCTTAGCATCAGAGTAAAAGCTAAAAAGTAAAAGCAGTTTCACTAATAACCTGTTTTTTAGGATGGTGAGGGGGTTTTTTGGTAATGCATTGCAGGAAGTCTTCACTATTCACATCTCTATTATTATTATCTTAAGACTGCCAGTTGTCAGCATGAAAAGGGGAAACGATGAGTTGGAAGACTCTGACCCAAATGTTCCCATTCTGAATCTTCATTAGCGACAAGAGCCTCAGTGCCAGCCAGCCCCTGCGGGAACACCCATCACTTTGATTGAACCATATTTTTTCTCAAGTCTCGCTTATATTTAGAGCTAGATCTGAGTTGTCAAGATTCTTGAGCAGCTCTTCAAGAAGTTTCTCTTTTCCAGCAGGGGCATCTCGTAAAAAGTAGCTTCTTCCTACTTGCTTAAAAGAAAAGAAAAAGATGATGAACATTATAGCCGAGTAAGAAACTGCAGGAGGGGGTATCCATTGGGATTTCAAGCCTTGGAAGAAAATTGGTAAGCTCTTTCTCTGCTGGCCTCTGCCAAAGTGTCCTTTTATGGTGGCTGGAAGTCTTAAGAGAAATTGACATTGCTGAATGCTTCATATATCACTTGCATTACACAGGGAAATGCCTTTTAAAAGGGCTGGGGGAAAATGAGAGCTGGCGGACAAGAAGAAGAACTAAATAAATCAAGAAAGGGTTTTAAAAGGTTTTTGCAAGGAGGTAAAACGGAGAGATGCTTTTCATAAATCAGGACTGCACATACTTGTTTTGAGAGGGCAGGAGCAACACAGCAAGCCTGGCAATTGTTTCTTAACAGGCATTCCCATGAGGAGGTGTTTCTGTGGTAATGTGGAAGACTTGGCGTCTGTGGACTATGGAACAATTTTGCTATCGTAAAAGAAGGGTCAACTACTGAGCAGCGCTGGGACAGATCTGGCCTGAGTGTGGTTCCATCTGCACACACTCATTGCCACTCCCAGAGGCATCGTTCACTGACTGTATTTAAAGTCTAATTTTCAGCAACCATGCGTCTTGGAGCAGCTTGCAGCAGGAGAAAAACCAAATGCACAATGCTATACGGTGGAGGCTTCCCCAATGGGAAAAGTGGGTTGTCCAGGTGCTGGAAGATTCAGGACAGACACAAAAAAAAAGGACTTATTTACACAGTGCATAGCAAAACTATGGGATTCACTCCCAACAAAGATGTAGAGATAGCCACCAACTTGATTGGCTTCAAAAAAGAATTGGACAAACGCATGAAGATAAGGCCACAGGGGTTATTAGAAGTGATGGTTATCACTGTCCTACGGGACCGTCTCTCCTAGTATGCCCCTCGGAGGACCTGAAGGTCCATAAATAACAACACTTTGGAAGTTCCAAGCCCCAAGGAGGTTAGATTGGCCTCAACTAGGTCCAGGGCCTTTTCAGCTCTGGCCCTGGCCTGGTGGAATGCTCTGTCACAAGAGGCTAGGGCCCTGCGGAATTTGACATCTTTCCACAGGACCTGCAAGATGGAGCTGTTCCGCCCAGCCTTTCGGCTGGACTCAGTCTAACCCCTCCTCTCATTTATTTATTTTTTCATTGAACCCCTTATATGGGATTTGGTATATAAATTTTCCCTCGGCTCTTTTTGCTGGCCCATGTAGGACCAGCATGGATAGTTGGCCCTGGTGAATATTTGACGTTTTCTCCCCTTATGGCTTTGATCTATGGGTTACCACTAAAACAAGGCTGCATTTTAAGCTGCATTTTAAACTGTATTCTAACTTGTATTTTACTCAACTGTTGTTTTGTTTGGTTTGGTTTGGTTTTTAATGTTTTCAATGTTTTTAATGTTTTTACTGTATTTATATTCGGTGTTGGCTGCCCTGAGCCCGGTCTTGGCCACGGAGGGCAGGGTATAAATAAAAAATTATTATTATTATTATGCCTTACCTCTACTGTCAGAGGCAGTAGGCCACTGAATGCCAATTGCTGGGAATCACAAATGAGAGGAATGCTGTAGCTCCCACGTCCTGCTTGTGGGTTTCCCATTAGCATCTTGTTGGCCACTTTTGAGAACAGGAGGGTGGGAAAGATGAGGCATTTGCTTGACGCAGAAGTGAGTTTCTTATGTTCTTAAATCAAGACTGAATCACCAATCAAGTCACCCAATCAAGAAGACATATGAAGGTTTAGGAAAGTTTTAAATGTCTAATGTTTTATCGCTATTATTATTATTATTATTATTATTTTGGGAGCCACCCAGAGTGGCTAGGGAAAGCCAGCCAGATGGCAGGGTAAAAATAATAAATTAGTAGTAGTAGTAGTAGTAGTAGTAGTAGTCTGCAGCAACATGCCAGAGCTCAGAAAGACCTTATTGCTCAAGCAATACTGAGCTGGAAAAAGAAACCCTTAATACGCCTTCCTACCCAGAAATATCCATAAGGTACCCTGGATCTCTCAGCAGTACAGCATTCTGTACAAAACTGGGACATAAAAGCAAACAGAATAATGGAGGATTCTTAATGCATTAGTTCCATTTTGTGGGGAAATGTCTGGGTAACTGAGAATGCCGCAATCTGGAGGAGAATTTCAAATGCATCCCTATTTCTCATTAATGTATAGCCCCCTACCCCCAGTACAAATTAAATGATAAATGCTCTGTATCATAATTTCACACAGATTTTCTACCAGTGATGGAACAGAAAGTGTCTCTCCTTGCCTCGGTGATTCATAAAAAACCAAGATTGAAAAGCAAAGGTGAGATGGTTTCATCTATGACTGATCAATGCAGCAGTGGTCCTTGCCGTAATCGCGAAGATCTATCCCATGGCATTATTGTCAAATCCTTGCGGCTCCAATAGGCACATGCTGCCACGATACAAAATCACTGACTCACATCAGAGCGATGGAAAACATATCTCGAGTGTTGTGCTTCAAGGAGAAGTCAGCCGCATTCAAACAAAACAACGCGAGCCAGCTTCAAAACAAACGACAACTTAGCAAGTTCACCAGCCCTAAAAATGCACAAGCAAATTTGTCTCCATTTGTAACAGATTCTGACAAATAGATTAATTACCTTCCCGTGTCATTTTGTTACGTGCCAATGGGTTTTGTATGTCTTTCTTTGGGGATTTGTGTCATCATTCTGTCTCATTAGCTGAGATGCTCCAGCCAGTATTGGAATGCAGGTTTCGAAGAGAGAGAAATTGGTTGCCCTTGCCTTCATGACGGGGATATGAGTGTATTGCTTGAGCAACTTAGTTGGGTGCCCTACAAAGGCAAAATACACACCCCAAGAAAGATGTAATGGTTAAATACATGTTACTACATCCCAATCCCAAAGAAGGGCAGTGCCAAAGAATGCTCCAACTACCGCACAACTGCACTCATTTCACACGCTAGCAAGGTTATGCTTAAAATTCTACAAGGCAGACTCAAGCAGTATGTGGACCGAGAACTCCCAGAAGTGCAAGCTGGATTTAGAAGAGGCAGAGGAACCAGAGAGGTGCTGGACGAGAATCTTGAGAGTCCCATGGACTGCAAGAAGATCAAACCTATGCATTCTGAAGGAAATCAGCCCTGAGTGCTCGCTGGAAGGACAGATCCTGAAGCTGAGGCTCCAATACTTTGGCCACCTCATGAGAAGAGAAGACTCCCTGATCTTGGGAAAGATGGAGGGCACAAGGAGAAGGGGATGACAGAGAACGAGATGGTTGGATAGTGTTCTTGAAGCTACCAGCATGAGTTTGACCAAGCTGCGGGAGGCAGTGGAAGACAGGAGTGCCTGGCGTGCTCGGGTCCATGGGGTCACAAAGAGTCGGACACGACTAAACAACAACAAGAAGAACCCAGTGGGGTAGTGTGGGTTGCCAGTGCCTGGGACCATGCAGAAGGAGGGAAATGGATGGAGTATGCATGTGCATTCAATTGCCTAATGGTGTCTGCGTCACCCGGGAGATTGCAGCCACAGATACAGTCACACCTCTTGTTATGTCAGTCTCTGGTTGCGTTTTTTCAGGATACAAACACGGCAAACCCGGAAGTGTATACTTCCAGGTTTCGCCGTGCACGCATGCACAGAAGCTCTCTGTGCATCTCTCGCATGCGCAGAAGCACTCTGTGCACCTCACATGTGCGCAGAAGCGCTTAATCGTGCCACGTGCGTGTGGCAAAAATGGAACTCTAGTTGAGGAATTTTTGGGGTGCGAACGGCACCCCGGAATGGATCGAGTCCTTAACTAGAGGTACCACTGTATAAGAAAGGAAGAGTTGTTCCATTGCCTGGAGCGGTCACTTTCTGGTTCGCATGGAGAAGCTGTTTTCAATGGAACCTAGCAATGGAAGAGCACTGCTGTGAGGCAGCACCAAGTGTTGAAATATTGTGCCCCTAACAATTTTGCACCTGAGGCAACCTCCCCTGTAGCCCCCAGCATGCTACGCAACTGGTGGGACTGGTGTCTTTGCAGTAGACCAGTAGATGATGCAGTAAACAAGGCAGTTTGGAGGTCTGATGTTAAGAGGACCACCATTTCTTTGAATGTCAATTCAAATCTTCCAGTGCATGTGCTTATGTAGTCTAGAACATTTTGCATGTGCAAAAGGGGAGGCACCAATGGAGTAATCCTATGGTGTGGGGGGGAAAATGTTTGTAGGAAAATTCCTAAGAGAGGAGAAATGCCCAAACTGCCCCATTAGATATCAATGGCACAGGATGTTCAGAGGAGTAACAGCCAAGTGTCCACCTCATAACCTACCCCAAGAAACTAATCTCCAATGGAAGGGTAAAACCAAGTGGAGAAGAAATTTTTAAGCTTCCCAGTGAAGACTGAGCATGTTTGCTGTGCACAAAATGTTGGCTGTTGGGGCAGGGATCAGAAAACCTGTGGGTCTGGGGTGATGGGGAATGGAAGGCCTGGCACCCTGAACAGAAGCTCTCCATGCTGCAACAGTTTTGTTGCAGGGCCTCATTTTCCATGATTAGTTTATGCTGATTAGTCAGAAGTTGAAATTGTTCCAGGAATGCATTCAGGTGTGTAGAGGAGATTAATTTGTGTACTACTGGCAAAGCAGCCATCATGATGAAGGATGGAGAGTTTAGGAATGGATGGTTCCTAGACGCAGAGATGGTTTGCATATAGAAGGGGTGGTCTGTATGGCTAGGGGTGAGTGGATCTGTCAGTTTCTCATTCTCCCACTCTTAAGTTCTCCACATTTGGGAATTAAAACAAACAAACAAACAAACAAACAAACAAACAAACAAACAAACACCCTTCATCAGCATTTCAGTGCAAGTTTCTCATAATATACTTAAAGAAATGGGAGAAATCACTCCATGATTTAAAGGGCATAAATGCCCTTTAATGATGCCATGAAAGGAAGATATGAAGCTGCCTGGATAGAAGGCCTTTTCTCCATCTAGCTCAGTATCATCTTCACCAACATTGACTCTTTGGGATTCACCCAGGATTTAAAAAACAACAACAAACAAATATCATAACAGCTCACAGACATCATTTCAGTAATTCAGTTTTAATGTTGCGCTTAATGTTTTGCTGGATTTTTATTGCAATTTGATATCATTATGTGCTGACTTTTGGCTTGTGGTTTTTCAGACTGTAATCTTAATTATTATTGTTTATTGTTTATTCAATTTATATACCGCCCTTTATCAAAAGATCCCAGGGTGGTGTACAACATTGAAAACACTTTGCAGAGCACCAATAACTTAAAAAGCATAATAACAGACAGCATAATAATATAACCTTCATGCCAAGCAATATGTCTGTTTTAAAAAGTCAGTCCCTTCACCGATTTTTGCCCCCTGGCTTCACCCACTCCTGGCTAGTGGCCCCCAGAATGCTGCTCAAAAGCGAATGTGGCCCTCCGACTGAAAAGGGTTCCCTGCTCCCATTCTAGGAGCTATACAGTGGTACCTCTAGTTACGAACTTAATTCGTTCTGGAGGTCCGTTCTTGACCTGAAACTGTTCTTAACCTGAAGCACCACCTTAGCTAATGGGGCCTCCCGCTGCCGCTGTGCCGCCACCACGCGATTTCTGTTCTCATCCTGAAGCAAAGTTCTTAACCCGAGGTACTATTTATGGGTTAGCGGAGTCTGTAACCTGAAACGTCTGTAACCTGAAGCATCTGTAACCCAAGGTACCACTGTAGTGGATGAGCTCACAACTGCATGATGAAGGATGATGTGTGAAAAGTTTGGAGTTGCATTCCATGCCATCAGAAAATACAGCAAGTCTATCACTGAGAAGGATAGTCCGATCAATACAGTTTATTAACATGATGTAGGTAGGATATTTTTTCTCTCCCCAGACAAGCATTTTGACTTCTAAATCTCCAAAATGCATGCAGAGAACATTTGTTTTAGGGACATTTAATTATCTTTTCCTCAGCATAAATAAAAATAAAATAATGTGGACATTTATTACATCTTGCTTTTCGATTGACACTGAGATCCGACTTTTTTAAAATAGAAAGAATAAAGTTAGTAATAGCTGTGTAGAATCATCACTCATGAGCAATTGCCATACAATTTCTGATATGACTTGACACCCCATTTATCGTAAAGAAACTTATTCAGAATATAAAATCCAAAGGCAAGCCAAAAAACCCAACAACCAACGAAACTGTTCCAGCCAAACCTTATTATTCCTTGCAAATAAAATATAATATTCCAGGGTCAGCACCATACTTTAACGGGCCTCTGCCTGCTGTTGCAGGGCAGCAGGTACTGTTCATTCTATGAGTCACCAACCATGGGTCGCCAAACCTGTGACTGCCAGTACCTCCTATGGTACCAACAAAAGATCTCAGGAAATGTCCCCTCAAAAACCCACGAAAGGGCCTTTGCCTTCTCAGTTCCTGTTTGCAATTACTCCACTTCTCTTACACTGAACACACACCCTTAAAGATGCCCACATTTAATGCCCAAAATCAGGAACGCTTCTCCCTCCCCTTCTGAACACATATGCTGAGAACTACTGGAATGTGGTGTTAGAATTCCTGCTCCATGACTGCAGTCATGGGATTTTTGTCTATCACATGACGGTGTGTGTTTTGACTCCACAGAGTCAGAGTGGGAAGTGACGGAGACAGGATGTTTGTGTTACTGTGTTCCGTGAAGTGGGACTATTGTCCTTTGATCTTTTCTCTTTGCTGTCTGATGCTGGAGAGAGAGGGAGCCATGTTGCAGTGCTCCATGTGTGTTTATATGTAAATAAAGTAGATTAGCCAAAATGCTGAGTTGCTGAGGTCTGTTACGCAAAGCTGCGACGACTCTGCAGATCCCTAAGTGTACCAATGTCGGTTGGCATCGGTCGCTGTGATGTTCGGGCTGCAGAAAGCTTATGAAGCTCCCGAACGATCGACCAGGAGGGAGAGAACATGCCAGTCAGGCATGTGTCTCTGCCAGGGTCCTACTCGAGTGCGGGCTGAACTCCTGACATGTGAAACATCCCAACAATAAGAGAACCAGATTTGGGCTGGGCTAGGCTGGAATGAAGGGCAGATGTTTTCCGCTTTGGGATAGGAGCACAGAATTTTGGATGGATAGACTTTGCCTATTTAAATATTCTGATTGTCTCATTCTAATGGCTCCTGCCCCCCTCCCATATTAGTAACTCTTGGCTAGGCAGATAGATGCCCCTCCCACCCCTATTTTGTTCATCTTTATACCTTTTTAACAAGCTTAATTTAAGAGACTGTTTTCATCCAGGACCTGGCAGGACGTTTGCCCTTGAGAGTCAGCATCCTTTGGTTAAAAACACTTTGCATTTATTTTACCTGTACATTCAGAGGCACATTTATTATTTAAACATATGCTACATAATTGGTTAGCTGCGCCATAAAAATAGCTTACAAAGCCCCAGTGAAAACAGATTGTGGCAATTAAAGGCTCAACGGGAGTCGAATCAGCCTGGCCATGTGAAATAAGAGCCTTCTGACGGTTGTAAAATCCAACTTGGATGAACCTGGTTAAAGGAGGTCTCTCTGGATTTTCCCTTTCTGATC